GGCACCTCTACAATTCTAACCGACTAGTTGTTGCCTAATTAGTTGACTCCTTAGTGTTATAGAATGTAGGAAACAACAGCTGTTGTTTTTTTTCGAGAGTGATTATTAAACAATTATATGAATCAATAAACAATTATATGAATCAATTAACAATTATATGAATCAAATAACAATTATATGAATCAATGAACAATTATATGAATCAAATAACAATTATATGAATCAATGAACAATTATATGAATCAAATAACAATTATATGAATCAATGAACAATTATATGAATCAAATAACAATTATATGAATCAATGAACAATTATATGAATCAATAAATAATTATACGAATTCGTTTAATGTCGTAAAGGTAAATATAAACCCCTCTGCCCATGTTATCCAATCAATAATCCATTTCAGAACAAAAGTGAATTACATTTAGGTGATTTTCGAGCACTCTTTTCCTATGCCGAAATTTTAACTTAACTTTTACTTTATTTGTTGTAATTATATATTTGTATTTATTAATTACTATATTATGTTATTAATCACGCTCGTTACATTTATTTTCATGGTATTTTATTCAATTGAAATTTAAATCCGCTCTTTTTTTACTAATGTAATTGTTGAATTTGTATTGCGTCCTATTTTTGAATTGTGATGTTTTATGTATTGCACGGACTTGCAAGAAGAACAGCCGTTGGCTGAAGCAATTTATCCGTGTTGAAATAAAATAAAATTAAATGAAATGATGTCTTTAAGCTAGTTGTACCTGAACATTGCTGTTTCAAGGTTATAGGAAAAAATAGACCAAATTTAATTCCTCATGCAATGATTTCTACATTGTCAACTGCCAATCTATCTTGGTAGGAATATGATAAAGTAATACATGTGTGTGGAGTGGGTGTGCGCGCGCGTGTGTGTATGTATGGGGTGTGCATTGTGTGTACGGGAGGCATCATGTGCAAAACGATCTCCATGCAATGAGCAAATGGGCAATCCTTTGCCATTAGTGAAATAATGTGTTCGACAAAGGAGAACGCTTCTCGATCCTTCTAATAAAAATCGAGACGCACTTTGACCGATGGAAATTGTTCGATGCCCACCTTGCAAAACATTTTAAAAAAATAACAATAAAACATGATAAGGAACAAGAGGCCCGCGGACCTTACGCTCACCTGAGCCAATGAAAGTAAGGGCCCCGCAATAAGGAACTTAGCTCCCATCCCCGGAACATATATTTATTGGTGCAGAAGGGCAATTTAGTCCCATGCAGGGGCAGGTATCCCTTTCAAACATCAATAGGTCTTCTCAACATAACAATTATTCCTAAAGAGTTCAGCTGGAATCCAAACCGACATTTTGGTATGAAAGCATATCTACACTTCATGATCTATCAGAATATGAAATTAAAAATGAGACTAACCAGGCGTTTTGAATAGATATCCTCGATTCAAACGGAACAATTTTTAAAACCATTTATCGACAATTTAAGCCTGCCCCCCCAGCCCAATTTGAACTACTAGATCTCCATTACCTGCATAATTATGATTCGTACACATTTTGTTTAGAATCCAGGCATAGGCTTTTAAGAAGAAGGGAAGGGGAAACAAATGTTATGGTACATCTATGCTGAATTCCAGCTGTGTCGTGTAAGATCAGACATATTTTCATTTTTCATTTTATTCTATCTAAAAAATACTTTTACCTTTTGGGCTGTCTTTGCGGACCACCCGAGGGAGATTCGTGGCTCACCGGTTGTGGATGTCATGTCGAGGGTTCAGTGACACAAAGACGTTACTCCATATTTTGCCAAAAATTAGTATTTGATATCAAAATGTTCAGGAAACACAAATACTTAATGAACTCCACCCAACACCCGATTGAAGTCAATGGCTAGTGAAACATAGACTTAACTCCTGAAGGCCCAAGTGTTCAGTGACACATAAACCACTTTTTTCAATATGGAGCTGGTTAATACGTCTTTGTGTCACTGACCCCTCGATGTGTTGTATAGAACACATAGTACACAATCACTCCGCAATTGCATATTTGCTATTTCGGTTTATGCCATCTTTGGCAAATCTTCATTAACCTAACTTCTATATTTTTCACTTTAAACAAAAACCTTTCCTTTTTCCAATCTACTGCATTAAAAGCTATTATTATAAAGTACATTGAACCAGTAATCTCAAGATGCTATCCACTACCGGAGGTCAATATCTATGATTATTCATGAGGTAAATGTATAGTGTAGGCCAATGCTGTCCAATTTTATTGAACGTTCCATATTCTAAAGAAAAGGACTTAGATGCAACCAACTGCATTTTATGTTGGACGTACTATTGTATTAGCCCAATGAATACGGAGGTATAATTTAAGAACCAGCAAGATGACAAAGAAATGCCATAAAACGACCGAGGTCAAATGAGCTTTCGGAGTATGGTTTCCAAGTGTAATTAGAAACCAACTGGATTGCATAATTGATTTTTAAGTGGCACTATCCGAGAGATAATAAGGAAATTACATAAACTGGCCAAGAAAGAGTTTATTAATGGCTATAAAATTACATAAGCATCTGGGTCGCATAATTGATTTTTAAGTACTACCAGGAAGATAATAAAGAAATGACATAAAATGGCCTATAAAGAGTTTTTTTAATGGCTATAAAATAACATTACATCGCAAAAGACAACATTTAAGTAAAAGCACAAAGTTCATTTTATTGGGTATTAATAAAAATGCAATACTGAGGTACATCTATTATAATTTTTTTAAATTTGTTTAATCCCGTTTCTTTTTATGTTTAAGTAAAGGAATTATGTGACATTAATGTTATTACTATCACATTATAGTACATTTTGTTTTTTCCTTTTAAACACCGGTATAGGAATTATTCTGTAGAAATATGTAAGCATAAAGTTGTAATATGCTTTAGCTGTATTGTTAAGTGCATAGGGAGATGTCGGCCTAGTCTGTTTTACGCTTTAATTAAATATTCCATCTTTATTGTTATTATTAAGCGATTACGAGAGGTTCATTGTGTAAAACAAGAGAACCGATGTATACTGTGAGGTTTTGGGATGATCACAATAAAAAGAAATTCACTCACTCTTACAGAAAATAACTTACACTGCACACACTCATTTGTATATAAGGGACTACACATACATATCACCAAACCCTACAGTGAGACTCTTCCAAACTGACATAGAATGAGGAAGCTCAGAATTTATTTTTCATCTTTATTAGAACACATGCAATCTTTTCTTTATTTCAATTGAAGTTGTATACCAACCTGATAGTGTAACATATTAAATATAATGTGAAAATAGCATGATGCATAAATGAGTTTCAAGTAGTATTGGCAATAAGACAAGGTATCGACAATAAAAATGCCATGATACATGATGACCATTTAACAGCAATGACACTTGATAAATTGTCAACATTGCCTCTCATTTTTTGAAAGTGGAAAATTTGTAACTTTAGTCAGGACAGCTGTGTCCTGGAAACAAAATATATAAAATCATGATCAATATTTTGATCCATACCGTAATGCAAAGCAGACATGATAATTATAATGAAAGCTTTGAAAGGGAAAAATATTGGGAAAACTATTGGAAAGAAAAAAAAAACTTAAGATTCCTAGCTACACGATTGCCGCTTACTGATGGCAATTAAAGGCCATGGCCATGCAATCAATAAATACATGTTGTCGTACATGGCCACTGGCGGGAACAGTCCAAACAACAGATGGAAAGCTAGTTTGCCAGTACAAACCTCTGTTATTCACACCACTTATCTGAGGGTCTGAAAGGCAAGACTACTACTTGGTTGAATGCACTCCATATGCCCTGTACTATAGCTGCTCCTGAAAAAACACTGCCACTGACTGACAAGTTAGGCTCGGTTCAAGTATGGAATTGTGTGTAAGTGTCAAACTAGAGTCTGTGTGTGCAGACTAATACACAGTCAGTGAACTGACAAAATTTTTAGAAATATTAACTTTAAAAACATTGGTGCCTCTTCTGGTTCTGGTCATGTCATAATTGCATTGTGAAAAAAAAGGTATGTAATCAATCAGAAGAAATTTATCATGTTGCAAATAAGTATTGGTGTGTACTGCAAGGTTCCGGAATCATCAACATTGTAAGAATTTGGCCCAGTCTTGGTAAAGTTACAAGCACTGTACACAGAAAGATGTGTATGGGACTACACAAACCTGTGCCATAAAAGTAGGGCCTCATTTTTAAGCTGTTACTTGTCATATTTAGAATATGAAGGCAATTGAAGAGCCATGCTTTTCTGGGAACATCTTTTCTCTGAAATTCTTTCACACTTGCATAATACAATGATAACTCTCACAAATTATTTCTCACCTCTCCCCAGAACTCAACCTTCTCTTTAAATTGATAGGTTACAAGTTTTCTAATAGATCCGTCAACTGGGCATCCTTCCTTTAAAATTTCCATTGACTGTAACTTTGCCATTAAAGGTAACTTTTATGGAAAACTTGATTTGATTGGCTGCAGAGTAATGGTACTATGGTAGTTAATATTGAAGGCAAAGTTACCATAAATGGTAAGTTTTATGAAATGGACCCAGACCAGAAGGTAAGGAGATTTTCACTCAAGTAGAGTGAATGCCATGCATTTCTACTTCATTAAAAATAAACTTGAGGTCTGGTAAAAAAATTTAAAAAAAATGAATTCTCACAGAATCAACAAAACCTACACTGAATGTTCAAGATTACAAATAAATGTCATTTGCCAAACAATTTTTGTAGAAAATGTATACTGGCTGAGTAATGAGCATAGAAAGATAAGGAAATTGAGGTTAGTAGCCTCAACATTTTTTTGTAGTCCCATATACATATTTCTGTGTACAGTGCTTGTTACTTTACCAAGACTGGGCCAAATTTATCATGATTTTGATGACTCCAGAATCTTGCAGTACACACCAATACTTACATGTACATGCTACATGATCAACTTTTTCTGATCCATTCCACACCTTTTCTTTCACAATGCAATCGCATGACCTGAACTCAAGTTTATCTTTAAATAACAAATATAAGAATTTATTGATTATAAAGTATCTTTCCATCATATATACTACATGATAAAAACTGACAACTTGTCAGTGATAATTCACTTGTAAACATACAGTGTATATAAAGGTAGTAGTTCACTTTTTATCAACCCTATTGAGTAGTGAAATTGTATAAACACCTACTGAAAGCCACTAACACAATCGCAAGGACTTCTGAGGCAATATCAATAGCTTTCTCCATTACCTTTTGAAAAGTGCTAAAATTACAATGACATATTTTGTAATACAAACATGATTTCTATCGGCAGTACAATAGGGTATTGAAAGTGCCTCTGGACAAAAACATGAGTGTTTGGGTCTGTCTATATACATGGCATCAGAGAAAAAATTAATATTTATTTTTCGCGGGCCACTTTTCAAGCTTGCCTGCATAAAAATAACATTCTAAAATTTGTTTTGCATTGAACTCTATGCAAATTTACGGGGGCTCTTTTCTGATTTTCGGGGGCTCTCTTGGGCATTTCGGGGGCAAATTCGCCCTAAGCCCCCATGTATTTTTTCAATGCATGCCATTTGCCCTAATCGAGGCACCACAGTGAGTCGATCAAAATCAGGTGGACAGGAATTGCACCAATTTCAGTTTGCGCTTCATGAGTTTTCACTCTTCTTCACCTCAGAATGGACTTCTGCAGAGAGGGCAGGAAGACTGTGCACTAGTACTGAACCATTTGTACTGTGAATGAAAGAGAGAAAAGGGAAGAAAAATTGACGAGGATAAATTACATACGGTATGTGTAATTTTTGAAATTTCTCAAGGCAAGCAAAATAGGAAGACAGTGTTTTGTGTGTTTAAATCATCATTTCCAGACAAAGAATTGAATCAATTTGAAAGGGGAAATGGGGAAAAGATATGAATCATTCCTTAAAAAAAAGGAATTGTTGACAGCTATAAAACTTTATAATTGAGGCCGAATTATTTTAACTGTTTTAACTTTATCTTTGGACAAACATTGTTCATTGTCAAAACAAATCAAAATTAGTTATGGTTAATGCCAAGGCAAAGCTTACAGTTAGAGAGGCATCTGCAGAAGCAACAATAATGAGTCTTTTATTGTGCAATTTACTTTGGTTAGGACAATAAACTTTTTTTCACAAAGATAAATATTACTTTTTTTCTTCTTCAGAATATCAGCCTTGAGGAGGTGAAAGAAAAAGGCAGGGTAAGAAATGAAGATAGAAGATGGAACAAACTAACAGCAGGTGGATAGTGATACTAATTATAAATAATCAAACTTAGATTAGATTGAAAAAAGAAGAATTAGACGAGCAATGTGAAAGGGATAAAGAAAGAACGGCCATTGATAGCAAGGCCGGGGGGGGGGGGGGGGGAGATGATAAGAGGGTGATAATGGGAAGGGATAAAAGATGAAGAAGTATGTGTTTGAAAAGGGAAGGAGGATAGGATGAAAAAAGAGAAAGAGAAGGATGGGATTACGAAAAGGAGGATGGGCTGAAGAAAGGGAGGTTGGAATGGAGAAAGAAGATGGGGTGAAGAAATGAGGATGGGTGAAGAAATGAGGATGGGTGAAGAAAGGAGGATGGGTGAGGAAAGGAGGAGGGTGGGATTAAGAAAAGGAGGATGGGATTAAGAAAAGGAGGATGGGCTGAAGAAAAGGAGGCTGGAATGGAGAAAGAGGATGGGATGAAGAAAGGAGGATGGGTGAAGAAAGGAAGATGGGTGAGGAAAGGAGGAGGGTGGGATTGAGAAAGAGAAGGGTGGAATTAGTAAGAGGAGGATGGGCTGAAGAAAAGGAGGCTGGAATGGAGAAAGAGGATGGGATGAAGAAAGGAAGATGGGTGAAGAAAGGAGGATGGGTGAGGGAAGAAGGAGGATGGGATTAAGAAAAGGAGGATGGGATTAAGAAAAGGAGGATGGGATTAAGAAAAGGAGGCTGGAATGGAGAAAGAGGATGGGGTGAAGAAAGGAGGATGGGTGAAGAAAGGAGGATGGGTGAAGAATGGAGGATGGGTGAAGAAAGGAGGAGGATGGGATTGAAAACGAGAAGGGTGGAATTAAGAAAAGGAGGATGGGGTGAAGAAAAAGGAGGCTGGAATGGAGAAAGAGGATGGGGTGAAGAAAGGAAGATGGGTGAAGAAAGGAGGACGGGGTGAAGAAAGGAGGATGGGGTGAAGAAAGGAGGAAGATGGGATTGAGAAGGAAGAGTCCTGAATGAAGAAATTGAGAAGTGACTTACCAAACATGCTGAGTGGAAGCGCTTCTTGCATGTCTTGCACATAAGCTTTGGGAGAGAGCAGTTTCCTCCATGTATCACAGAGAAACAGATCATGCAGTCTTCAATACCCTCAAAACGTTTATCTGCATTGCTTCGCCACAAGTTCAACCCCTCCATTATAGACCCATTCTAAATCGAAATAAATAGAGAGAACAGTCCACAAAAGGTTTATTCATTTTTCTTTCTCAAATGAAGGACCCATTTTCACTATTGTCTACATGTGATGCTAAAAGATAATTTTGGTTGATGTGCCGAGGGATGGAAGAAAATGGATAAAAAATAACATACATGTACCAAAAGTACATCACTGAAAGACAACAAAAAGACATCAACAAATTCATATGTTACCATTCTCGGCCATCAATAGAAAAAATTTCAAGTTAAAATAATGCTACAAGAATAATGGGGCATTGCAAGAAAGTTGCGATTGATTGCAATTCAAAAAATTTGCACCTGATATTTGCAAGCTTTTGCAACTCAACTTTCTTGCAATGCACCACTAGTCTCCTAAATTTCCTAGGATTTAGTTAGGATTAAAGCTTATAACAATTAAATTAAGTTAACTTAATCTATATTTATCCCCCCCCCTCTCTTCTCTCTCTCTCTCTCTCTCTCTCTCTCTTACTAATGGGGCGTTGCAAGAAAGTTGAGTTGCCATCAATTGCAAATTTGCAATTAATCACAAGACTTACGCTTAATTTGGAGATTTGCAATTGATTGATTTATAGAGAATACTCAATCATTGTACATAATGGTGTTTACAAGCAAATGAGATCATCAATCTTACGTACGATATCTGTCTAGTAGAAATTGTATAGATCTGCTTAGATGAAACTATTGTATAAAATTGAATTATCTTCTATATGCATAAGGACAATCTATCAACATCAAGTGAGAGTATGAGGAAGGGGGTCGCATCTTCTTTTCATGTTGCCTCCCCCTTCCTCCCTCGTCTGTCTCTCTCTCTCTCTCTCTCTCTCTCTCTCTTGTTCTTTTTCTAATATTTTTGTAAGGTTTACAACACTTTATACAAGAGATCATGTTTTGTCGCTTGTTAATTAATCTTTCATGTTTTCGTACTCAAATTACATTTGGGGGACATTTCCACAATGGTTTTCTTCGAAACAGACATACTAACAATGAGAACACTCATGAATTATTTTTCATTGTTACCAGAACACAAGTTCGTTCACAGCTAGCCGTCACTGGAAGGTAACAGCTCCATGTCTTTGTTGGACAGCAGCGCGATCAGCTCAGAGTGAGTCACACATGTGTGTAGTACAGGTCACACTTGTGAGCCCCAACAAGCAGGGGTTAATATCTAAAAATACAGAGCTGTACCAACTGCAATAACCACACATTGGGCTACAATGCCTTCAGAGGGTACCAGTTATCACCTAAGAAATAAGCTGGCTGTTAGACTGTATGGAATCAACCTCCAAAAACTTCAATCCACATTTTGTGGGTGGGCTAAAATGTTAAGGGTATGAGTGGGCTCTATTTTTGGCAAGTTTATACATGGCATCGAGTAAGTCATATTTATGTGAACTGAAAGTTTATATTTAAACTTGAAAATCTTTTATAAGACGATTACTTGGAAGTTTATACTTTGAGTGTAGCACTACCACATGGAACTACAGTCAAACCTGCTTTAGTGACCACCTGTAAAGAAAGACCACCTGTCTACAAAGACCACACTTTTTGTTTCCCCTGAAAATGGTTTCTCATTGAAGCATGTACATGTACTAAAGGAACCTGTACTGAAAGGCTACCTGCCTATAAAGACCACTTTCTTTTCTGTCTCCCTTGGGTGGTCATTATAGACAGGTTTCACTATACTATAGTATTCAGAAAAAACCCATTACTAACGATATTTCGCATTGTTCTTGATTTCATGTGCATACATATAACGCCATCTAAGCATTTTGATAGAACTGTATTGTTTGTTTTTATATATATATTTTCTAATGTACATGAAGATTCACTGGCAGATTATATTAGGGAGCACATCCAGCCACACAAAGCAAAGTTGCCTGGCAATTATACTTAAACCCCAAGGATTTTGCATTTTGAGAAGAATGACAGAAAAAATCCCACAGTCAACGTTTTTTGAGGATGTTCTATTTATGAAAAGGAAAGTGTTAATGTGCTTTAGGACGGAATTGCTCATGATCTAGACGCTAATGCTGCTAATTATAGACAGTGACTCAGCTACATGTATCTATTTTCGTACTAATGGTTGACTCTCCTTTTAAGAATATTTACAAAAATCTTTCAAAAATACTATCTGCATAAGGGCAGATAAAGGTCAGTTTTTCCTAAATTATAAAAACCCATGGAGACGAATACTGGTATCATGCTCATGAAAGTTATGTAATTATTCATTTATGCACTGACAGTACATTTATCTGATACACAAGTGGAAGTATTCTTTTCAAGAGGCAAACAAAAGATATTCATGAAGCACCTCTATCACTTCGGCAGTAATTATTCTAAAATGCACAAGTGAGACGTATCCATCGTGTAGAAGATCTGTGGATATTTTGGGATCATGGGGACTGAAGCTATTTAGGAACTGGCTTATTGAACTGAATTTTTGAGAGAAAACAACAAAACAATAAAAAACAAAATGCATACTTCTTTGTGAGCTGCCTCTTCATTCACCTGTTGTATAACATAATTGTATAACATATAATTGTATTTCAATAGTCAGAATATAGTTATGTTGCTAGGTCAGAAAAAAAATTATGGCTTGCCCTACCTTACAACACATAACATAAGCAGTTTGCATTCTGACTATTAAAATATAACTATTCTTAACAGGTGAATCAACTGCTGGATTTCACCAGCTTGTCGTTATAACCACTGCTAATTGCCATGCTTGAGCAGTCAGTATTGCTGTAGCATGTACAAATCATGCTGGTGTTAGTGGGTCATGGTTTAAACCTTCTAGCTTGAGAAAACATTAGTTTAATTAAAATCTACTATAAAGCCATGCAAACATCTATCATGCTGGGTTTGTTGGTATCTGCTGGTTGCCAGCTAGGTGGTCCCAAAGTTGCGGAGAGTTTCAGAAGGTTACCTCAAATGTATTAAACTTTCAGGAGGTTGCCTTCAATGTAGTAAACTTTCAGGAGGTTGCCTCCAATGTAGTCAACTTTCAGGAGGTTGCCTCCAATGTAGTAAACTTTCAGGAGGTTGCCTCCAATGTATTCAACTCTCAGGAGGTTGCCTCCAATGTAGTCAACTTTCAGGAGGTTGCCTTCAATGTAGGTAACTTTCAGGAGGTTGCCTCCAATGTATCCAACTCTCAGGAGGTTGCCATCCAATGTAGTCAACTTTCAGGAGGTTGCCTCCAATGTAGTCAACTTTCAGGGGGTTGCCTCAAATGTATTTAACTCTCATGAGGTTGCCTCTAATGTAGTCAACTTTCAGGAGGTTGCCTCCAATGTATTCAACTTTCAGGAGGTTGCCTCCAATGTATTCAACTCTCAGGAGGTTGCCTCCAATGTAGTAAACTTTCATGAGGTTGCCTCCAATGTAGTAAACTTTCAGGAGGTTGCCTCCAATGTATTCAACTCTCAGGAGGTTGCCTCCAATGTAGTCAACTTTCATTCGTAAACGCTCATCGTAATCGCAGTTCCACGGTGTACTGTTTATGCTCACTTCTCAGGCTCCTCCAGGCAATTCTCGCTGGGTGGCCTTAATTTGCCTTGCAGCTGGATATGCAAACCTGCACTGTGCATGCTACGTAGACCCACTAGAGGTCAGTGCGTTGACCCCATTTAAACGCCTTTACAAATTGTAAACGCACCTTTTTGTGAGTTTACGATCGGCGATTCTACAAAAGTGAGAAAGGACGCAACCGTGTTTTGAACTAAACACGTAACAGATGCCTGATTCTGGCCAGAAAAAGTTGAGCATAAACATACCCTTATACACAGCTTGCTCTAAAATGTTATTATGTACTATACTATGAATGCTCTGATTAATGTGCAAACAATAGAGGGGAATTGTTACTTTGAATTGAAATGTGCTAAATATTTCAACTCACTCATGAGTCATTTTATTGCCTCACTATCCACTTTAAAAACAAATTTATATTGATAATATAAATTTCGAATTTTCCCCCTAAAAATCTTATTTCCTCACACCAGCATCCAAGGTATATTAATAGTAATTTGTTTTTGTGTGGATGCACTATTAAATATAGAGTAATCAAAGATTATGAATAAATATACAATATTCAGAAGATAGTATCAATTATTCAAAGTTCAGATTTTGTGAAATGTCATGCACGCAATATGATACAAATCATTTAACCTGGGCAAAGGCATAGGGAAATCAATTTGGGGGGGGGGGGGAAAAGGGAAATTAATGTGATAAAAATTTACAAATTGTAAACGCACCTTTTTGTGAGTTTACGATCGGCGATTCTACAAAAGTGAGAAAGGACGCAACCGTGTTTTGAACTAAACACGTAACAGATGCCTGATTCTGGCCAGAAAAAGTTGAGCATAAACATACCCTTATACACAGCTTGCTCTAAAATGTTATTATGTACTATACTATGAATGCTCTGATTAATGTGCAAACAATAGAGGGGAATTGTTACTTTGAATTGAAATGTGCTAAATATTTCAACTCACTCATGAGTCATTCTATTGCCTCACTATCCACTTTAAAAACAAATTTATATTGATAATATAAATTTCGAATTTTCCCCTAAAATCTTATTTCCTCACACCAGCATCCAAGGTATATTAATAGTAATTTGTTTTTGTGTGGATGCACTATTAAATATAGAGTAATCAAAGATTATGAATAAATATACAATATTCAGAAGATAGTATCAATTATTCAAAGTTCAGATTTTGTGAAATGTCATGCACGCAATATGATACAAATCATTTAACCTGGGCAAAGGCATAGGGAAATCAATTTGGGGGGGGGGGGAGAAAAGGGAAATTAATGTGATAAAAATTTACAAATTGTAAACGCACCTTTTTGTGAGTTTACGATCGGCGATTCTACAAAAGTGAGAAAGGACGCAACCGTGTTTTGAACTAAACACGTAACAGATGATAGATAGATAGATAAATGGTATTTATTAATTCATTTCCATGTAT